ACACCAATGTGTTTTCCATCACGACGTCGCCAAGCCATACGCTCCGCCAAGAGGAACCATAAACATTACTGGAAGGCGATTGCAGATAGCATGCAGGCTGCAACCGTCGCAGCGGACCTTCGAAAGCTATTCCGTCTAATCCGTGTTGCAGCAGGAAAGAGACAGACATCGGAGCCACTGTTGCGCAGCTCCAGGGTTCAACTTATTCAGGGAACCGAACAGAAACTGCAAAGGTGGGTCGAACACTTCGACGGGCTGCTCAAACGCCCATCAAACCAACCTGGCTCTCCACAAGTGTCGAGCAGTTTGGAGACCTACGACATCAATTGTGATCCACCTAGTATGGTAGAAATCGTCAATGTAGTCACTACTGAAAAGCGAGAAGGCCACGGAGATACCACCAGAGCTGTTCAAAGCTTGCCCACCAACTCTGATCGACCCGCTGCACACTCTTCTCCACCCCATTTGGGAAAGAGAAGTTTTTCTAGAAGGTTCGGCAACTTCAATTTTTGTTCCGGTTCCAAAAATGGGTGACAGATCTAGATGCCTATATTAAAGCGGTGTTAACCTCATTGATATTGTGGCCCAAAATTTTGCAATGATACTGCTTAGTCGCTTCGCAGTTGTCAGAGATACCTGCACCCTCAGAAACAAGGGGGGTTCCGCCGCGGAAGAGGCTGTGTTGAACAAATCTTCACTTTACGCAGGATCCTAGAATACCGCTACAGGTTTCGGTAGCCTATCACAGTATGTTTCGCTGACCTCCGCGCTGCGTTTGACTTTGTCGATAGGGAATCATTGTGGTGCATATTGTGGTCCGACGGGATGCCTGAGAAATTCATCAGGCTCTTAAAGTCATACTACTCAGGAACCCGGGCGCGCGTCCGTACCTATGGGGAAGAATCAACTGAGTTTACCCTAATCTGTAGACTCAGGCAAGGTTGCCCCCTATCGCCGGTGTTATTCAATTATACCATAAATTGGATAATGCGACCATCGCTCGTCGACTATTCTGGAGTGCAGCTTGGCTTAGGTACATGGATTGCGGGCCTCGAGTTTG